AGTGATAAACTGCTACATCAAAATTTGGAATTTTGCTCCGAATTCTGAGATATTCTTACTTTAGATTAAAATCATTTAAAATGACCTTGAGCTGATACATTCATCAAGGATTTAAGTATCAAAAATTTTCCAAGATATTGCGGATGACCTCTATATCTCAAATGATCATCAACAAATAACTGACCGAAATGCCATTAGCTATCATCACTAACTGATCCATGTCCGGAGGTACCAGGTCATCTTCTACTGCCACNTGGGATCTTCCTGAAGTGAGTCGGCAAAATGACCGAAATTATCTCCGCCACAGTTTCCTCATCATCAGTTAGACAAACTATACTGTAAACACCTTCAGACGAGTGCCACAGAACACAACTGATCTTCCATGATCACTAACCTGTCTCCCAAAATCAACTGTTAACGCTCATGTACCTATAACTATATCTCTTATTTAGCCCCTACCTTTCCTAAGTGTTAGTGTTTTCAAAGAACCCGTTTCAGTGACAGCTCAGAGGCTGTACGATAACCTTGCGGTATCATAGTGTAGCGATGAACAGAATCTCACCTGTGAATATCCATCCGTGAAAATGATAATGAGGCGTTTTGCTCCTTTTCTCGCTCCGTATCTCTGGTCGAATTCGCCAGTGGCATAGGTGATCGCCTCACCAGTCCGTGTTGTTCCACCCATATGTGGCACTCGTTTCATTTCCTCTATTGCCGCACTTGCATTCGTATATTTATTCAAATGAAAGATAGTTTCCGTCCTTCCTGGTCCCGAATACCGGATCATTGCTATCTGAAAAATTGTTGCTGTGATCATCCTACTGATCTGTCGGTAATCCTGACATTCGAGAAGTTTCATATTATGCCTTTTAATAATCCACTGAACGCATACGCATCAAGTATTCATAAGGTCGAAGATGGTTGATCAACATACTTCTAATACTGATCTATAAGCTAAAGTTTGCCCACTAACATATGAATTTTTTTGCATCAGTCGATCCAGCTGGATTTACTCATTAAGAAAAATATATATTTTGTCGAACGATTTTGTTATCCTGTGGAGACATAGCTATTTTCTGGACATATGTATCAATTCAATAGCGCAGTCGCGCTCATTCCATCACTATAGAGCAATCAATACGTTCATATTAGCAATAGGCGGATTGCAATCTTCGAGCTAACCGTCTTCTCAGGTGTGCCCGGAAACATGTTCGCTAGCAACGATATCGAAATCTAACAGAAACTTTGAATCGACAGGATCGAATACACGCATTCTGAGCTGATTAGAACTTCAAAGGCGAGTGTCACCATATCACGGCACCAGAACATTACACGATCATTTCAAATCTAATGAAGTACTCTTCATTCTCAATTCACATCATCTGTTTATGTCGACTTTTTACGCGAATCGCGACAAGAAGTAAGCAGAATAGAATCAACCTGAGCGTT